TGGACAGTGTCTTTAGATAAGGACATTGTACTCAATTTCGTAACAAATTCATCTCCTATCATAACTCGAACAATGTCTTTGGCCGCTGGCAACAGTAAATCCTCAGCAGTGGTGTGAGGTTTCATAGCTCTGGCGATTCTGAGTGCCACCAAATATGAAACTTCAACGGCTGCTACATTTTGTTTGTGGTACTTGCCACCAGTGTCAAGTCTGGCTTTCTTGAGTCCATCAGCTTTGCTTCTAAAATAGTTGATATCCTTGCCGGCAAAGCTCGGATGCTTGCTATCAAAATGGTGTTTTAGTTTGTTCGGCTTCATAGATTCGGCTGATAGAACTTCACAACAAATAACACATTGCGGTTTCTCAATTCTGGCTGTACTTACTGAGGTAAAACCATATTGTAAAAAATCCTCACTATATTTTCTTTTCTTAACGTTCCTCTCTACATGGTCCATTGTCATGGGATGGTATGCTAATGAAAATAATATATAACAATAGCTTTAATAATACAAGAGATGATACATGGCATAGTTCAGTCAATACAGTTCATTGAAGTTCCCTATGATTTACCATTCTCTGTTGTTTTTTTACACACCTGTTACTATCACAAGGGGGGCAGTATTTACATCAACCACCGCTGAATGTAAAAAGACAGATCAGCATCCAGATTAAGTTCCCATGGTACAGATATATATTTTTTTGCAGTAGTTGATGATTTTACAGTACATGATTTTAAATTTACCCAGTAATTATAATTCATGAAGTGTCGTTTTACCTCCAATACTGTTGCTTTCAACACAGTAGCTGCTTTTAACAGAGTAGCTGCTTTCAACATAGCAGCTGCTTTCTACACAGTAGCTGCTCTCTACACATGTGTGACTGGTCTGCATAAGTACATTATGGCACCAACCCTGTCACATACACCTGTATTTGTACGGGGTGTATGTGATGGGGTTGACGTGATGATGTCATCACGCCGGGTACTCCTATGTGGGCGTATGTGCATGTGGATGGACCCGCCTGGAGATGGATAGGGGAGTGGTGTCTCAGTTCCTAAGACCATTGAAAATATGTGTTTTCTGATGGTCTTAGGCGACCCCTGTGAAAGGGTCATTCGACCCCCAAAGGGTCGCGACCCACGGGTTGAGAACCGCTGTTCTAGACATATATTTTATCATTAATCTATCCTTTGCAAGACACAATTAACTATTATAAATACAAGAATTTGGAAATTCTTCTTTTTTTTTTCTCATTGCTTATTTACTTTTTTCTTCTGTAGGTCCTTTTCCCAATACTCTTCGACAAGTTGAGGTAGAGATCATAAGTAATGACAGATGTAATGAAGTTCATGTATACGGTGGTGCTGTGTCATCGGGAATGATATGTGCTGGATTCTTGGAAGGAAAACTCGATGCCTGTGAGGTAAGACTAGACACAAATCCACAAAAATGAATCTGTTGAATAGAGATGAGCTCACTGTCCATAAGTCAATGTCACTTCATGGATCTCCATCAGGAGAGAGCAGAGTGTAAAAAGAGGGAAAGGACGAACCATAAGAAATACTCCTATTATTGTCTCCATGCATATGTAAAAAATGGCCACCGGATGCACGTTAGTGCTCTAGTTAGAGAAAAGGAGTGGCAGCAGATAAAAGAAACTAAGTCAGGAAGCCACACAATCATTGCTTCAATCCATAATTATAATTGATAGTTAAATATCTAATCCCTACTAGTTGTAAGGCATTGTGAGATGGGATTGGCAGTAGTGTCATTTTATGGGTGCTTGAGCCATTGATCTTAAATAGTACATCTAGAGAGAATTATGCAATTAAAAAAATTCTTAATCATTAAACATTTAAAGAGAATATTACTTTTATTTTTTCCCCTTTTTAAAATTTATTGGGGTAACACTGGTTAACAAAATTATACAGGTTTCAGATGCACAATTTCACAACATATCACCCGTACACTGTATTGTGTGTTCACTACCCCAAGTCAAATCCCTCTCCATCATTTATTCCTCCTATGGTCTCCTCCACCTCCCCTCACCTTACCTCACGCTGGCAATCACCTCCCTGTTGTCCCTGTCTATGAGTTTATTCTCTCTTGTTTTTTTTCTTTTTTGCTCAATCCCTCCACCTCTCCCACCCAGCCTCCCAACTCCCACCCCTAATTCTTAATCATTAAACATTTAAAGAGAATATTACTTTTATTTTTTCCCCTTTTTAAAATTTATTGGGGTAACACTGGTTAACAAAATTATACAGGTTTCAGATGCACAATTTCACAACAGATCACCCGTACACTGCATTGTGTGTTCACTACCCCAAGTCAAATCCCTCTCCATCATTCATTCCTCCTATGGTCTCCTACACCTCCCCTCACCTTCCCTCACACTGGCAATCACCACCTTGTTGTCCCTGTCTGAGTTTATTCTCTCTTTTTTTTTCTTTTTTGCTCAATCTCTCCACCTCTCCCACCCAGCCTCCCAACTCCCACCCCTTCAACCACTGTCAGCCTGCTCTCTGTTTATGAGTCTGCCTCAATTTTGCTTGTTAATTCATTTTACTCATTAGATTCCACATATGATTGAAAGCATATGGTACTTGTCTTTCTCTGACTGGCTTAGTTCACTTAGCATAATGCTCTCCAAGTCCATCCATGCTGCCACTTTTAAAGTCTGGTTATATAAAAGAAGAAAAATAAATATCAAAATTAATAAAGATTTTTACCTATAGCATTTGAAACTGAGCCCAACATTTCATAATTCTTGAAGGATTAGGTATGGCTTTGAGATTTTTACACATGAGTGCTTTTTTATATGCAAAGTTGCCACCATTGATCTGCTATTGGTAATAAATATTCATTCACTTTTTTTTGTGAATTGCAAGGTCTATGGCAATTACTGAAGGAAACATAAACACTTAAAAAAGCAGGAGTCCATGATGAATTTACAATCTAATAACAGCACATAAGTACATAACTAAAAGCAGTGGACAAAAGACAAGTATTTGGCTACATTTTCTGGAATGCAAGGCCTCCTTCTACTAGTTTTAATTCTTTTTTTTCTTTTTTAAAAAATATGTTTTATTGATTTTTTACAGAGAGGAAGGGTGAGGGATAGAGAGAAAAATCGATGAGAGAGAAACATCGATCAGCTGCCTCCTGCACACCTCCTACTGGGGATGTGCCCGCAACCAAGTTACATGCCCTTGACCAGAATCGAACCTGAGACCCTGCAGTCCGCAGGCCGATGCTCTATCCACTGAGTCAAACTGGTTCGGGCTAGTTTTAATTCTTAAGAAGCAGAAACAACATGTATGCTTCAAGATAGAACTGGATCACATGACTTTTAAGGAAGAACACAAAAAAGTCTATAATTAGGATAGACTCAAATCCACAAAAATGAATCTGTTGAATAGAAAGTTATATTTGAGTTTATAAGAAAGCAGATTTCCTCTTTCTATTGGTCCATGCTTCCTTCACCACTAGCACACTGAGGACCTAAGTTAGGATGTGGGCTAACTTAGGAAAGGAGCTAAGGAGCTGTGGAGGATAGCTTTTGGTAGACCAAGGTTTTCACACTCCCTCTACTGTGCACTGAAATGTACTAAAAGGCATGTTAAGGGAAGAGAGCTAAAGTGACAAGTCTCTGGGACCCCATGCCTACTTCAAACAAGACCATTTCTCTTATTTAAAAAAAAAAATCTGTAAGGAACTTCTACATAATACTCTTTTGGGATGAATAGGTTCATTGCTAAAAGATAAGTACAAATCAGTTGTCCAGATCTAAGGTTAAATATATCAAGAAAGTCCTCATGATTCACAACATTCAAACCAGATCTTGAAAGCTAGGGATTCCATCTTAGTTTGGAAGCAAAATCATTTGTGTAATAAATGGTGCACATTGGCTTGGAGTGCCCTTTGCATATCTTCTTCCTCTCAAACCTACTGCTACACAGTAATACAGTGCCCAGGACACCTATCAGCTGGTGAGAGAGGAATAAGGTGAGATTTAAACTCAAAGCAAGAGATTATTCTACATAACAGAGTTAGGAGAGGTTTCATTGTAGAGGTGGTGTTTAGTTGAAGCTTAAGGTACCATTTATGTAAGAACTGGATGCCTAAATTTAGATATAGTTTGCACTCTCTATTTAGATAGAGCAAAAATAAAAAACTATACAAGGATAAAACTGAAACATTATCTTTATTATCATCATCTTTCAGGTGAAGATATTCATAGAGGTAAGCAGACATAATAAGATATAAGTAATAGCACAATTATTATATTAATACTAATAGTAAGTAAAAATAGAATTAGTTTTACATACTTCAAAATATTAATTTATTAGATATTAAGTTGCTGATTAACTGTCATTCTGACACTCATTTATTACATTGACAATATTTCTCTTCTTCTCTAGGGTGATTCTGGGGGACCTCTGGTTATAGCACGTGATAGAAACATCTGGTATATTATCGGAATAGTAAGCTGGGGAATAGACTGTGGTAAAGAAAACAATCCTGGAATTTATACAAAAGTGACTCATTATCGGGACTGGATTAAATCTAAAACTACTATCTAATGCAACAACCATCTACCTCCAGCTGAAAATGTCATGTGTGGTGTCTAGGAAATTGTGTCCAGTATGTGTTTGCCATGTATGCTGTCATTGAGGTCAAGGTGCAAATAAGCATGATGTGACAACTCTTCCCTTAGATGTGAGGAAAAGACAGGCTTTCTTTCACATAAAGAAGTATTTTGCTGAAGTGTTTTTCTGACCATGAACATACAAAAAACTGTCATCTCTTCAAAGATCCACCATTGCTGCTGTGTTTCTAATGACCTCCTTGTTCACCTTTCTATCCCTACTATACGCTTCTCAGTTTAGCATAATCCAGCAGTTTAAGTAGGTAAGTAGCAATTGGCTAAGCATTCTCTATTTTTTTCCGCTGACAGATCACACTGTCCTTCCCCTGACTCCACAGTTTTTAATCTTCCTCATCAAATAGTTCTCATTAGGAATCTGTAGGTCCATGTACTAGGCAAATCAAGGTAATTAGTTTTTTGGCCAATGCTAACACAAATGATGGAGGGGCATTAGACATGAAGCCAGAACTTAAGAGATGGCACTACTGTGAGTTCTTTCCCCTTTGCCCTCAGATGCATGTGTTACCTCTCTTTGAAATTTGAAGAAAAACTGTCATTTACATTTACACCCAGATTTTAATTTCCTTAAACTACTACACTAATCTTTACTTTTGAACAATAACAAAATATTTGAATCAGAAAGCAAGAGAACTGAAAATATTGCCTAGCACTGGATTTTGTTTTAAACTATGTAAAAATGCATTTTGATATTCAGAAAAGAAAAGAAAAGTTTCTTGGCCTTTTCACTGAGAAGAGGAGGCAAGGACTGAGTAAGAATGAGCTTCTGTCCTCTCTAACAATGGGAGAAGTTCCGATCTTAGTGTAAATTTGCTTTTCAATTCTGTTTAATAATTTCTTAATACAGTTTATTTTCTAGAAACAGTTATTTTTAATCAATTTCAGAACAATTAAGGAACCCACAGAATAAGTCAATGTAAATTAGATATTCATAAATAATTTAAACAAGAAGCCAGTATAAAATTAGACATTCATGGATACTTTGATGCAAGATTTTGGGAAATGCCTTACTGTACAATATTTCAATTTTATGTTTAAAAGTTAGGCATTATTTGAAAAAATGGTATTTATAGAAAAACTTAACAATCAAGAAAGCATCTTTGAAATGGTTTAATTCTTTACCTAGGTCATTTTCATATATATTTAAATGCATTTTTGTGGCACTGTACATGGCAACATGACATGAGTAATATTCAACAAAAGTTTTTCTGTGCATCTAAACTTTTATTTGTTTACCCATTCTTTTTATAATTAATTAATTTAGTTAATGAAATAACTGCCAATGCTAAGAATTTTTGTGTGTTTTTTTGTTTTATATCAAGGGAGAGTCTCTCTTGCACTGCATGATATTATGTTATATACATTAAAATATATTTATAATAATAAAGTCAAACTCATTCTTTTTGGTCATCACCATACTGCAGGGTTTCTCGTCCTTGGTACCATAGACATTTTGTCAGAAATAAAGCTCCGGGGGATGTGTTACATGGAGGGCTGGCAGCTATCCTCTATTTTGTAGAATGTTTAGTAGCATTCCTTCTTTCTATACACTGGATGTTAGCAGTAACCCTACCAAGTTGCAGCAAACAAAATGAATCCAAACATTGCAAAATGTCCCGTGAGTGGCAAAATCATCCTCAGTTGAGAACCATAGTCATGGGATCAATAGCTAAAAGAAAAATTTCACCGTTAAAAATCTTGCACCATAATTTTCTTACATGAGTTTGGGAATATCTTTCTCCTCCTCATTTTTTTAAATTGATTTTTTAGAGAGAGAGAAAAAAAAACACATCCATCAGATTGAGGGATAGAACTTGCAACCTGGATATGTGCCCTGACCAGGAATTGAAGCCATCACCTTTTGGTGTACAGGATGATGCTCCAACCAACTGAGTAACACCAGCCAGGGATCTTCTCCCTCTTTTTATAATGCTGATGCATTGAGGGTGCTGAGAGACCATCATGATCTCACCCATATCTAAACAATTCTAGATAAATTAAGATCATTTGGAAACTGGACCTGGCTGGAGGAAGGAGGCTGTTTGAAGTTTGGACTGCTATGGGCAAATAATTCATCTGTCTATCTGTCTATACAACCACCTATGGAGAGACTTATATAGAGAGAAATCTATATCTTATATAATAAAAGGCTAATATGCAAATTGACCTTAATGGGAGAATGACCAGTTGCTATGATGTACACTGACCACCAGGGGGAAGACACTCAATGCAGGATCTGGCCCCTGGTGGTTAGTGTGCTCCCACAGGGGGATCTCCACTCAGCCACAAGCAGGGCTGACAGCTGTGAGTGCAGTGGTGGTGGTGGGAGCCTCTCCCGCCTCCTCGGCAGCTCTAAGGATGTTTGACAGTGGCTCCCCAAGGGGGAGCGGGCCTAAGCCATCAGTCAGACATCCCACGAGGGCTCTCAGGCTGTCAGAGGGATGTCTGACTGCCAGCTTAGTCCTGATCCCCCAGGGACTGGGCCTAAGCTGGTGGGTGGATATCCCCTGAGGTCTCCTGGGCTGCCAGAGGGATGTCTGACTGTCAGCTTAGGCCTGATCCCCCAGGGAGTGGGCCTAAGCTGGCAGGTGGATATCCCCCAAGGGGTCCAGAACTGTGAGAGGATGCAGGCCGAGCTGAGGGACCCACCAAGTGCACAAATTTTTGTGCACTAGGCCTCTAATAGATATATACCTACAAAGAAAGATATTGCTCAAATACCTTAATTATGCAAAATTGCACCATAAATACCCTATTTAGTATCTTCAAAATGCATGAAGAGATACTACTTGAAAGAGCAATATGTATTTGGCTGAGGCAGAATGGTCCACTCCATCATTCACTAACAGTGTAGAGTGAAGAACAGAAAATTGCAAAGCAACACTAGGCATTAAAAGCTGCACTGTCCAATATGGTAGGCAATAACCAGATGGGGCTATTTAGATTTAAATTAGTTTGAATTAAATACAATTAAAATTTCATTTCTTCAGTCATACTAATCACATTTTAAACACAAAATAGCTACCTATGGCATATTGGGCAATATGGATATACATCATTTCCATCACTGCAGAAAATTTTATTGGACACTACTAACCTAGAACATTCTATGCAACTACTTACATCAGCAACTTTCAACCTTTTTCATCTCATGGCACACATAAACTAATTACTAAATTACTGCAGCAAACCAAAACATGCACTATATGTTTTGCCAATCTGACAGAAAAATTGGTATAAGTTTGATTCATTCACACCAGACAGCAATTGTTGTGTTGACCAGTATCATATTTTTATATGACACTAAGGGAAAAGAGGTCAGTGCCCTGACTAAATGGGTATTGTTTGTTTTAAAAATTCTTGCAGCACACGGGTTGAAAATCGTTGACTTACATAATCACTTATTCATCGAACAAACATTATTTGATGTTGAGTCAGACATTGAGTACTCTAGAAACTGGGTATACAATTCTATATAAAGCCAAGTCCTGTTTTCAAGATCACATACAAAGGTAAAAGTTTGTTTGATAACTGCTGTATGAATACAGCAGGCCCACCAGGCACCCACAGGTAGATAGATGGAAGTGGTCAGAAATCACTTTTCAAACTTCCAGAAGCCCCAGAACTTCCCCAATTAATGGTATATTAAAGAATCAAAAAAATTCTTTGTTGCTTTTAAAATAAACAGGGAATTTCTTATAACCCAACAAGATATATAATGACAACCAAAGGAAATAATATCAAGTAATGGAGAAGTATCAGAGTCACAAAGTTGAAAATATTAAATGATGTTTTAAGCAAGAAGCCAACTCCAATAAAACAAGGTTTGGCATGTGCAATATGCTAATGTCATTTTGGTTGCCAGAGAGGAGGGAAGGGAGTTGATGAGCAAGAAGGGTGAAGGGGAATAAGAGGCACAACTTCCAGTTATAAAATAAAGTAAGTCACAGTGATGTAATGGACAGCATCAATAATGTCATAAAGATTGTGTACAGTGACAGATGTTACTAGGCTTATTGTGGAGATCACTTCATAATTCATAAATGTATAACTGTTGAATAAATAGGTTGTACACCTGAAATTAATATAATATTTTATGTTAACTATACTTGAATTTAAAAAAAAAAACAAAAACAATGCTGCAAGGTACTAAGAAACTTAGACCAAATGTGTTACTATGCTGCCATCTCCTGGTCAATGTTATTTTTAATATATATTTTATTGTCATCTCATTTCAAACTATAATTTATACAATCTGTGTTTCAACAGATTGTAATACAAAGAAAAATCTGGCAATCTCTCCCAAATTTTCTCCTAAGTTAATCAAAGTGTAAGTTTTGTATATCCTTTCATGGTTTTCTTTGTTTATCTAAACATAATCTATTCAGTTATAAAGGATTTCTCACTTAAAAAAATTGTATCATTTTATCTGCCCCTCTCTCTCTCACTTCTGCCAAAATGGTGAACTAGCATAGCATACTTCCTCCAAATCAATCCAATCAGATAAACTATAGAAGAAAGAAGTAAACATGAATTCTAGGCCAGGAAATTATAATAAAAGTGAGAGACAAGGAGACTGAGGCTATCCTGAACTGGAGTATGTGAGGAGGGTGGGTGGCAGAAGCCTAGAGTGGAATAAGAGAGGACTTAAAGAAACACTTTCTAAGTTTTACTCACCCCCACCCTCAACACCCTTCCTTTCCCAATGTTGCCTTGAGACAATGTTCTCCTGCTTTTCATACCAGAAAACAGTCACAGCAATCCAGACTGCCAATTTTGGAAAGTATCAAGGCAAATGTCTACTAAGGAGAGGAGTTTCTACAAAAGGTGATAACTAAGCAGCTACTTTCAGGTATTCTCTTCCTCACCCACACTCCTCCAGACCTCCAGGGCTGGTATCGTTTTCCCCTAGTGCTGCTTAGCTACTCCGCCTATGGCCAGCCTTCACCCGCAGAGAAGAGCCAGTGTTGAACTTCTCAGTTATGCTCTAGCCCCAATCACCAGCTCATCTGGTGGCTTTGGTCAGTAGAGTGTCCTCTGGGCCACCCCATAGAACATATCTCCTGACGGGTCTCCCAGCTTTACGCCACACATCCAGCCATTTATTTCTTTCTCCACTCTCTTGCAGCACACATAGGGCTTTTCTTTTTTTTCTTTTTCATTTTCTTTTTTTTAACCCTCACTTAAGGATATGTTTTTATTGGTTTGAAAGAGAGAGGTAAGGGGATAGAGAGATAAACATTGTTGTGAGAAAGAAACATCCATCGGCGGCCTCTGATACACACTCCCACTGGGGATTGAACCTGCAACCTGGGTATGTGCCCTGACCAACTCTAACCACCTGAGCCACCAGATCAGGGCATTTAAATATAAAAAACATAAAGGAGAATTTATAAAGTTTGCCTTGACTATTGCTTTCTTCAGGCTAAGAGCAACCCTAGCAGCAAATCTGCCCAATCTCCTTGGGTCCTTGCCAGCATGTTAAATACTATATGTTGAGAAAGTCAATAAATTCTTTTTTTAAAAAAAAATATATTTTGTTGATTTTTTACAGAGAGGAAGGGAGAGAGATAGAGAGTCAGAAACTTCGATGAGAGAGAAACATTGACCAGCTGCCTCCTGCACATCCCCGACTGGGGATGTGCCTGCA